GGTGTGGCAGTTCTCTGCTCCTTAGACTCTCTCTTCTTCATTGCCTCGATCACAGCCATCTCTTTGGCTTCCTTCTTCTCATTTCGAGCTTCATACTGCAGTCTGGGAACAAAATATTACAAAATTAAATAATTAGGCTTGTTAAACTTTATATAATGGCAAAACTTCATCTTGAGATTGCTAGGAGAACAGAATGAATACAGAATGAATTCAAAAATACTAAATTTAACAAACCGGTTTTCAATAATCCTCTGGACAATGTCGTCAGTGGTGAGGTTGTTCCCACTGTCAATAGTCCTGAAGATGCCTCTCCTTTTTGGTTCCTGCAGAAGAATAAAGTATAAGTCATAAAACTAACATTATACTTTTGAATATGAAGAGCAAGCAGAACAAATAGTTCTGATGATACTCACAGCATAGGGATCTGATCCATCTGTGTCTGGAAACACTTCTGTCTTGCCGTGACATACCAAATCCACCTGAAAATATGAGTAACTTGATTTAGTGAAATCTCTGACCCTTTATACCTGATGTATAAACTTCTAAGATAGTAACCCGCATTCTCGTCAAATATGAGAAAAATGCCCACCAGAGGGCAGCATAAGAGAGCATGACAATAAAATTTGTTTTCACTTTTCCTAATCTATGAGAGACGTAAAATGAGAGGACAATAGTTGGAAAGAACTTAACAAATATTACAAATGATACGACAGTGACATAACCCCACTTAGGCATTTAAATAATCTAAAATTTGTAGGCTTTAGTAAGAAATTGTAATAAAAATGTACACAAGGAGGCAGAATAAAGCGTTGGTGTCCCATTTGTAAGAATAAAGGACTTACATTTTTGTCAGTGTTCACTTTATTCAAGATCCATGTGACATACATTGTGCTACCACAGTAAGAGGCTGATCTTGTATTAAAATACAAGATAATATAAAGCTTTATTGAATAAGTGAACTGTAAATGTAAAGCTTACCTTGAAATGATCCAACAAGTCTTTTCCGACTGCATAAGGTGCTCCAATCACCACCTCTGACACATACTGAAAAGAATTGGAAAAATAATTAATCAGCGATGCCTTCTGTGTGCAAAAATATGATTGTTACACCCTTTTGTTGTTAAATGAACAAACAAGAAAGTGAGTGCAATGAGATCTTGGTATAATGTCCTTGGATATGAGGGCATAGAGTCTCAGTGTTGCAAACTGATAGCTGACCAGCAGGAATGAAGAGAGGCACAGAGCCAAGCCGAGTTCACGAAGCTGAAATATCCCACTGTGAACATGTGTTTGAACTCACCCTACAAGCCAGCACACTCAGTGTTCGCTCATGAATGTTCATGATTGGATAATTCTTGCCCTTGTACCGGTTCACTTCCTGCAAAGAAAACATAGTCAAGACAGAACAGTGAGTGCACACTCACTGTCATTGTATTTAGCAATACTGTTATGAATAAATGGCTGACTTAGCAAGTGCTTAACAAGACTTTATGTTCAACTTTTATGCAATATATTTTCAGAACTTCTTTGCAGTGGACCAAGGACAAAAAAGTAATTTAAGTATTTCTTAGTTAATTCATAATTCTATCACATCTAAGGCCTTTGTTCATCTTTCATTTGTTTGGTTGGATGTTTTATTTAGTTTTAGATGAGGATAAATAAATGGAAAACCACATACAGCTAAATAACGAAGTGCAAAAAATTTATTTAGAGATGTAGTCGTACCTGGTCAAAATGCAGTCCTACAATGACGTAGGGCTTCTCCGCTTGTTTGTAAACCATTTCTAAGAAGTCAACGTGGCCAATATCTACAGGGAAGATATTGTCAAGGCAAAAGCTAATATACAGTACAGTTTGTACATGAAGCCATCCTAATCATGTTTTCTTTGTTGTTGATAAGGATACGAAAGAGATCGAAAGCCCCAGCCACATAGATAATTGTGTCTCCGGGCTGTGGCTCCTTTCCTGAGGCAAACTGGATGATTTTCTGTGACGTCTGGAGGAACTGGGAGACTCCTGTCCATGGACTGTGGCCTTTGGGACCCTTCAACACAGAAAAAGTATTCAAACATAAATTAACAACAAAAAGGAGGGCTGAGAGATAAAGGTTATTATTTTAGCCATACCTTTCCAAAGTTGTCTGTATGCGTTTGATAATCTGGGTTACTCTAAAAACCAAAGAACAAACATTAACAACAAAGCACAGGACAGTAATAAGATACAGCATTAACACTCAGATAGATCTTACCATATTACTGTGATGAGCTTTGGTCATTAAAAGCATACGTCCCACCAGGTCAGTGGTGGAGACCCCCTGAGTGCGTTTACACTCTTTGTACCGCCCCTCACGCTTCACCTCTTCGTATGTGTCCTTACCATCTACTGTGAGAGTGATGTCGTCTGGCAAACAAACATAAATATAAATAACATAAAATATATATGATGACTATATTTTGATGACATGTGAAATAGGAGACTCACCTCCATGGACACAGTAGTCACAGTTGTATTTGTCGAGAGTCTCCAGTGTGGTCACATAAGGTGCTCCTTCAACTATTTCGTCCACCCATTTTATAGCGCGCACCATCTTGTACCGCTCCTCTTGTGTGAACACAGGGGGTCCTTTGTGTTTTGAGATTTCGGCTTCAAAGAAGAGAAATAAGTCACTTATTATATGCTCATATATGCTATTATATACTCACACAGTTATGCAAATTTTTATAAATACATGATGAGGCGGAGATAAGTGTTTTGATCTGTTAAGAGAAAGATCCTGCAGGTATGTTTTAACGACTGGATCTTTAGTCTTAGTTAGGGGTTGTACTTTATTAGAAATTTGTATCCTTTTAACCTGTAAGACAATTGAAAAAGAAAATAGATGGTGGTCTGCTCTTACCATCAGTGTGTACTCCGACTATGAGGTAGTCTCCCATGCCTTTTGCTTGCCGCAGCTGGTTGGAGTGGCCGTAGTGAACCATGTCATAACTGTTCAGAAAATCAATTAAAAACACACAAACATACACATACACAACATAAACATACAATAATTTATCCTGCCACTAGTTGTATTACTTGATATGATGTTGAAAATCTTGAATTACACTGAGTGTTTGGCAATTAATTCATACAAGAAACAACAACAAGCCGTGCCCCATGTCAAAGGTCACTAGAGGAAAGGTAAAGGGAGGGACATTGAAAAACTCACTTTATTCTTCACACTACATTAATTGTAATAATAATTAAGAATGTAGTGTACTCATTAATATTCTTATACAAAATTCTCAAAAATATTTATATTTTTTAAGATAAAATAATAAATTCCATATGAACAATAAATTAAAAGTGCATGTCCCACTTGATCAGACAAGACAATGTTAAGCACCCTACACCAAAAAACAGCATATTTTGGATTTATTTTACACTTCTCCTCCTTTCCTGTTTTTCTGCTGTAGCCTACCCAAAACATTTCCCACTGATATTTTCATGCAAAGCAGGCTGTCTATTTCAGTTATTTATAACCACCACATGAGACCAGGTACAACAGAGGTACATTTCAACAGAATTTCATTTTGTGCAAAATGTCACACAACAAAAAGTATGATAGGGGTTGGTAGTGAGCCAGATAAAGACACATGACTTCAATGAAAGTGAGAGACTTGTGTAATAGAAACATTATTATGCTCTTGCTACTACTGCTACTACTACCACACTGAACTAGGTCTACTATCACATAATTATTTTTGACTGAAATGACATGGAGGCCTGTTAACAGCAATGGCTTGTTTATTATCTTCCTGGCCTGAAATACTTACTTCAAGAGCATTTAATATATGAGAAGGTCAGACTGACTGAGGGATTTAAAACGTTCTGTCAAAACCCCTGATGACTAATGTTGATCATGCTAGCTAGCATTAGCAAGTTAGCTCAATGGAAGACTGCTCTCTATTTTTTTTGACCAGAAGTGAAAAATTAAAACGAGACTTTTAGAGCTCCTACCATGCACACAGGGACAGGACAAGGGACCTACCAGCCATCACACCACAAACGCACAAGGCGCTTTCTCTTCTCCGGGCTGCACATTGCTCCACCCGGCTTACTGCACCCGGCGTCGCGCATCTGGTCGTCGACGGTGGCGTGGTGTCCGTTTTTGATCATCTTAACGGTTTCAAACAAATAAAGATCTACAGATAAGAAATTGCTGAGGGGTTTATTTGTATCAGCAGCTGCGTACTTCAACTGAGGTATTTTATTTGACGGATCAAAGTGACACGGACAGAGATCACCGGACAACGCCTCCCGCTTACGTCACATCGTACGAATCGGATCAGGGTGACGTACGAACGCGTTGCATAACGTGCCCCGTCGACCACGCCCCTTAACCCCAGGCCTTCCCCGATATGTCTATGGCCTCCAGTGTATTTTCCCACATTTCAAACACAGGTACACAACTTAAACGTGGATAAAAATTCACTGAAAGGAAGCTGATGAAGTTCTATAATATAAAATACACTGGTTGTATTGGTATTCAAAATTCAATGTAGATAATAATTCAAAAAATAAACCAAGAGGACCAAATTCAACCTTATTTTAATATCAAAACTGTGGTGCCACATTGCCAGCATTCGTGAACAAGCGTTCTCAGACATGCTAGTTTTTCAGTAAAGCCTTAACATCTGGAGGGTCAAAGCAACCTGAATAGGACACATAGGACACATAATACAGAATCTTCCTGAGATAATAAATACATCAGTTTGGTGATCCCCAAGTATGTCTGTTACATGATAATAAAAAATAAAAATAAAAAAAGCAACACAAGTCATTCAGGAGTGAGCAGACCTAACTCTGCCTTATTAGCAACAAAGTTGAGATAAAAATGTAAACAATAAACAGGTAATCTAGGTCCTGACCTGAGCAACATAACAATAGTAGCTAGCATCAACAGCAAATAAGGATTAAATAATGTTAAAAGCAAAAGATCATTATGGAGCACATCATTTCAACAGTGCAAACATACAAAAGAGAAAAAAAATCCTCATTAACCACCATTTAGGTAAACAAAACCTTTAAGAAAAAGCCTTTTTCAGTGTCTGTATAATGATGTTCTAATTCTAAAGCACGTAATTAAACACTGTCCTGATCATCCAAATTCCACTGAAAATCCTTCATTGGATAATGGGTGGCTTTCTCTGGAATAAACATTTTACAAACTTGGTAAATTGTCCATACAATCTATGCATGATCTGTTAATCTATTCTTATACATAATAAATAATAACAACCGAGTAAGCAGCCTATTACCATTGGTGCCAACGAATATCAGAAGTGGTATTCTAAACCACTTTAAATCCTGAGCTATGCTGTGCTTAGTTGCTGCAATGGAGTAACAAATGTAAGACCTTTACCACACAACGAAAGAGTCCAGTATCTCAGTAAACTTAAAATAGCACCTACGTTACATGTGTCTAACACATTTTTCTCATCCTCCAAGAAAAGAAGGGCTAAACATACCAAAAGGTATGTTAACTATGACATTCAATTAGGGTAATTATACATTTTTTTTCTTCCCCATTCTTCCTTTACGATAACCTCGTCCAAACCAACCTCCTTGAACAGATGGGGTTTCTATAGAGACTTCAGAGTGAGCTGAGACATGTTCCTGCTCTGTAGATGGAGTAATGACTTCACGAGAATGAGTGTTGGCCTCTTCTGGCTGTAAAGGTGTAGCCAAAGTAAAAATGGGATCCTCTGTCCTATGAAGAAAATAAGTAAATAGCAATTTAAATTTGTGTTACTTGACTCTTTAGAGCAATGACTGTGTTATTAATGTGTTTTACCTGTTATAGGGTGGAACATGCATATTTAGTTCCTCCATTAAAAGTTTCATAACATCATCACATTTGGCATGAATTTTAAGCACTGCCAAATCATCTTTTGGCGTCCACTGTAGCATAAGATAGGCAAAATAATGCCATGATTTCCAAATACTTTAACTATTTAAATACTTAAATACTACTTGAGAGACAAACATAATGAACAAAGCATACCTGAAGATTGACAATGTACAGTTGTGGCCGCTTGATTGCAGGTTTGTTCATGGACCATAAACATGGATATTTTTTCAGCACCTACAAAAATACCAAGATCAAGTGATAATTTGAATAGAGGACTGGGCGGCGGTCGGGGACGGGTGTCTCGACGGCCTGGTCCACACACACAGCATCTGGGTGTGACGACATGGAACATCACCTCACTGGGGGGGAAGGAACCCGAGCTTGTGCGGGAGGTTGAGAGATACCGGCTAGATATATTCAGGCTCACTTCTACGCACAGCTTGGGCCCTGGTACCCAATTCCTTGAAGGGGGTTGGACCCTCCATTTCTCGGGCGTTGCCCACGGGGAGCGGCGGTGAGCTGGTGTGGGCTTGCTTATAGCCCCACAGCTCAGCCACCACGTGCTGGAGTTCACCCCGGTGAAAGAGAGGGTCGTGTCCCTGTGCCTTCGGGTCTGGTACAGGTCTCTCACTGTTGTGTTGGCCTATGGGCCGAATAGCAGTGTAGAGTACCTGGCCTTCTTGGAGTCCCTGGGAGGGGTACTGGACAGTGCACCAACTGGGGACTCCGTTGTTCTACTGGGGGACTTCAACGTCCACGTGGGCAACGCCAGTGACACTTGAAGAGGGGTGATCGGGAGGAACGGCCTCCCTGATCTGAACCCGAGTGGTGTTTTGTTATTGGACTTCTGTGCTAGTCACAGTTTGTCCATAACAAACACCATGTTCGAGCACAAGGGTGTCCATAAGTGCACGTGGCACCAGGACACCCTAGGCCAGAGGTTGATGATCGACTTTGTCGTCGTGTCATCTGACCTCCGGCCGCGTGTCTTGGACACTCAGGTGAAGAGAGGGGCTGAGCTGTCAGTCAATCACCACCTGGTTGTGAGTTGGATCCGCTGGCAGAGGAGGAATCCGGAGGGACCTGGCAGGCCCAAGCGTGTCTGTTGTGAACGTCTGGCAGAGTCCTCTGTCAGAGGGGCTTTCAACTCGCACCTCCGGGAGAGCTTCTCCCAGATTCCGGGGGAGGCTGGGGACATGAAGTCCGAGTGGGCTATGTTCTCAGCCTCTACTATCAATGCAGCCGCTCGTAGCTGTGGGCGTAAGGTCTGTGGTGCCTGTCGTGGCGGCAATCCCCGAACCTGGTGGTGGACACCGGAAGTAAGGGATGCCATCAAGCTGAAGAAGGAGTCCTATCGGGCCTTGTTGGCTCGTGAGACTCCTGAAGCAGCTGACGGGTACCGGTGGGCCAAGTGTGCTGCAGCTCATGCGGTTGCGGAGGTAAAAACTCGGAGCTGGGAGGAGTTCGGGGAGGCCATGGAGGAGGACTATCGGACAGCCTCAAAGAGATTCTGGCAAACCGTCCGACGACTCAGGAGGGGGAAACAGTTCTTCACCAACACTGTTTACAGTGCGGGGGGAGAGCTGTTGATCTCGACTGGGGATGTTGTCGGGCGGTGGAAGGAATACTTTGAGGATCTCCTCAATCCCACCGTCACGTCTTCCGAGGAGGAAGCAGAGACTCAGAGGCGGACTCATCTATCACCCTGGCTGAAGTCACTGAGGTAGTTGGCAAGCTCCTTGGTGGCAAGGCTCCTTGGGTGGATGAGATCTGTCATGAGTACCTTAAGGCTCTGGATGTTGTATGGCTGTCTTTGTTGACATGCCTCTGCAACACTGCGTGGCGGTCGGGGACAGTACCTCTGGGGAGGGGAGGATGGAGCGTGAAATTGACAGGCGGATCGGTGCAGCGTCGGCAGTGATGCGGTCGCTGTGTCGGACCGTTGTGGTGAAGAGGGAGCTGAGTTGAAAGGCGAAGCTCTCGATTTACCGGTCAATCTACGTTCCTACCCTCACCTATGGTCATGAGCTCTCGGTAATGACCAAAAGGACAAGATAGCGGATACAAGCGCTCGAAATGAGTTTCCTCCGCAGGGTGGCTAGGCGCTCCCTTAGAGATAGGGTGAGGAGCTCGGAGTAGAGCCGCTGCTCCTCCACATTGAGAGGAGCCAGCTGAGGTGGGTTGGGCATCTGTTTCGGATGCCTCCTGGACGCCTCCCTCGGGAGGTGTTCCGGGCATGTCCCACCGGGAGGAGGCCCCGGGGAAGACCTAGGACACGCTGGAGGGACTATGTCTCTCGGCTGGCCTGAGAACGTCTCGGGATCCCCCTGGAAGAGCTGGAGGAAGTGTGTGTGGAGAGACAGGTCTGGGAGGCCCTCCTCAGACTGTTGCCCCCGCGACCCGACCCCGGATAAGCGGAAGAAAATGGATAGATGGATGAACTATTAATTTGTAATGTATAATAACTGCTGTGAAAGTAGGTCTACCTTTAGACTTGAGCCTAAACAGAGAATGACATCTGCGGTCTTGGCAGCCTGTGCAGCTCCTTCCCAGTTCAGAGGTTGTTCAAGTGTTCCTCGCTCCCCAAAGTGCACAATAGTGTCTCTGAGTTCACTTCCACAGTGCCTACACTTACGCCCTGTGTTGTGTCGGTGAAGTGAAGTTCGTTCAGTAACGTCAAATAAACGCACATACTCCCTCACAGGAGAACATGAGGTACACACCTAAAACACAGCAAGAAGATATTTAAGTCAGTTATAATTCAACAAGTTCTCAAATGGTATACATACCTCAATAAACATGTTTCCATGGAGCTCAGATAAGGCTTGTCTTGGGAGACCACTACGTACATGAAGTCCATCACAATTCTGTGACACAACATGTGTAACCTATAAAAGAAGACATGATTAAGTAAAAGTATATGTTTAAGTAAAACCATTAATCAGTAAAGGCTTCATCCATTACCAGCCTTTCCTTATGCATTGTTCTAATGCACATATGTGTGTATGTTGGCTCTGCTTTGCTAAGATCAGACGAACTGTAAAAAAAACATGTTAAATTGAGTATATACAATAAAATATGTATGAATTTAATTCACATATTTATTGTACCTGATACTCCGCCCTTTCTGCAGTTGTGTCCAAACTCCATTTGGACCCCTGTAGTCTGGGATTGAGGCAGCCTGAAAAAAACAAACAAAAAAACAAAGTAGGGTTAAAACACTGTACAGAGATAAAATAGCTTTAAATTATTGGACGTACCGTGCTTATGCCAGCGCCTGTATAAACAACCAGGTTTTTTGCCTGTTTAATAGCAAGAGCCAGCTGCCTCACTTTGGATTTTAACTCATCAGAATCATCAAAAACCTGCAGAAACACACACCAATAAAACTGTGATTGCAATAGTCTTTAAAAAAAATCTGATACTTTCTTGATGCAGAGAATCACACTTCTCACACAGCAGCGTTGGTCCAGAGCACTGTTTCAGGGCACTGGTCCACTGTCTCAGTAGCTCTGAAGCGTACCTCATCCTGCTTCCTCTTGAGCACCTTCCTGCGGAGCTCCCTTCTGCACAGCTCCTCCACCGTGTCCCGGTGCAACTCTAGCACAGCGGCCTCCTCTTCTGACCGCTCCGCTTCGGGTTTCTTCAAGACCTTTCCCACCTTCACGCAAGAAACCAACCAAGAACAGGAGCGTAAAACAACCTCCCATCTCCACATTCAATAGTATCGGTAACAAACAAGCTAGGCCAAGCAAGCTTTGAAAGCTTTAATTCACCGACTTACCAATTTGAAAATTGTCCGTTCCCTTTCCCGTTGTAGTATTTTTGCCTTTTCAAGTGCTTTTCTCTCCGACCGTGAAGAAAAAACAGCGTTTGCATCTCCGTCCATGATCCTGCTCCAAAATCAGCTGAGAAACATTTATTCAAAACAACGGCCGACGTGTGCATACCGGAAGTGTCTGAGGAGGATCATGGGTCACAGCGCCTCCTGCAGCTGGGAGGCTGAATTGTACGCAAAGGTTTATTTATACATTCCTTTGTCCTTTTTAAGAGACACGTGATATTGCTGTGTAGAGTCAATTTAAATTAGGTGGTCTAATGTAGGTATTTATTTACGTTTTATATAATAACATGTACAAAATCTGTATTTATTCATTCAGTGCAGGGAGACCTAAAAAATAACATTTCAACCAAGAAACATGTTTTTAAATATTTATTACAAACTTGAATAAATAACATAAAAACAGCTTTACCTATGAAAAAATTAAGGCCATGTGCATTTTGACCTTATGTTGTACAATACAAGGCAATACCTGGAGTAACAGTACTGTACTAGTCGGCATGTATAACAAAAAACTAAGGCGGCATATTTCTTATTTGCACAAGATATAAACTATTTACTGTGCATCAAAGTATTCACACAACTGCTGCTAAGGCAAAACAGCTCCATAAAAAACGGGAAAATATTCAGTAGTGTACTTTTGTAACAATATGGCAGATCATCTTGGTAAAATATGAAAATTGGTAAAAAAATAAATTAATAAAATAATTACCCAATAAAAATAGTTTACTAAAATGATCTATAAAAAGTGTAAGTCTTGAAATGTAGTATTTATTTTTCAAGTTCAGTTTAGTTTATGAATACATTTGTGTTTTCATAGTAATTATAGGCATGTACTGTAGACTGGACATTTCAAAGGGTTTCCAAAAAGTCCCAAAAGCAAAACATCTTCCTTGCTATATTCTTGACAGATCCCCAAATGACAGGAAACAGGAGACATAAAAATTACCTCTAAGCTACTGCAGTATTGCCTGCTCCTTAGCTCTATAATATAATATCCACAGTCAAACTATCACGTCTGACGGAAATAGCGAACCACTGACAGCACTGGAGATGGAGCAATGATATACAGCAATAGGGATATCTTGGTGTCAGTTTTGTTTTTTTTGAACTCCTCTAAAATGTAAAGATATTCATGTAATCGCTAGAGGTCTTATTAGGATCCCACAGTGGGGCCAATTAGAGGGGTGTCATTGGGGTCTGGAGGTGTAAGTGCTCTTGGGGACCCTCTGAGGATTTGCTCTGTACTGTCCTGCCTGTGTCTCTAATGGCTGCTGAGCGGTGAATCCAGGCTTGTGCCGAGACCTCATGCTAACTCCTCGGTGCCTCTCCGCTGTCTTCTTCTGGATCCTAGTGAGAAAAGGAAAAAGCTTCAAGCCAATGACACTCAGGCACTATCCAAAAGAAAAAGAAAAAGAAAAAAAATCTGTGGCCTGCGGTGTGAAAATTATAATTTTCTTCAAATTAAGAGGAATTCTGCTGCTGTGACGGTTTGCAATGCTACAGGAAACTTTTCTTTATAGAAGTTAGGCAAAAGGCAGCAAAAGTAAAGTAATAGTCAAGCTTACATCAAACCTCTCTTTCTCTCCAGTGACTTCTGTGTCGCAGCTGACAATAAACTCTTTCCTCTATGTTGGCCTCCAGGTCCATTCTGAAAATAACCAAACATGATGTATTTTGGTGAGAAATTCTAATTGTCTATGTACACTAATTGACAATACAAATACAAACACCAGTTGATATTTTAAAGACACTTTCTCAATCAGAGGTAACAAGAATGTCCCCCTAAATCAAACACAGAGAGTATAACAGGTAATGTTTTTAAAATACAATTAATTTTACTTGTCGCTTGAGCTCCCTTTCTCGGGCCAGGTCTCGGTCACTGCTGATCAGCTGCATTCTCTCTCTAGTCGTTAGACTGAAGAAGATATTATGGATCTCAAACCGTGCAGCATGCAGCTTAAGAGACAATTAAAATAGGCCTCATGTCTTAAGACTGTTGAATACTGCAACTCAATGAAACAGATGAGTGAAATGATCTTACCTGTAGAGTTACTCTCTCTTGCAACATAAGGTCTTGTCTGGAGGGGAGTCCTTTGTTAGGGCTATGCTTCTGAAAGGCCTGTAAAAACTGATGTGTATCCTGTAGAAAAAAAAACAAAACAAAACACATTATTGTAATAAATGTAATAGTATTTTAGTTCACACTAGATCACACATAAGAATGATGAACACTTAACTTGGCTTTTTTTACTACTTACCCTGGCGGTGCGAACCAGCTGTACCACTCTCTCAGTCCTCAGCAGCCTTCGTGTCAGAAAGCCCTTTGCAGCCGCAGACAGCAGGTGGCGGTAGTGGTCCGGGAGTGGGATAGAGGAGGGCTGTGGGTGAATAATGAAGACCAGAGGGGAAGAGAGAGGAGAATGCTAATACCATCAATGACATCCAATTAATTTCCTGCAAAGATTCTCAAGGTCCTTTGTTGGCATCTGTTTAGGGCATCAATGGAAGCAGCCGTACAGTTCATCATTTTAATAGGATATAATAAGCTGAATAATAAGCAGGCGATGTGCTTTTCTCTCACTTGTTGATTGTACCAGTGTAGTGCTAAAAGGGCATGGCTGTTGGACAATGTGGTAATGAAGCTGTCATAGCGGGACATAGCAACAGCAGATAATATGGACTACAAAGACAAAACCAAAACCGGGGTAGTATTTTTTTTAACTGAGCGGATGAACCTGCACATGGTGAATACAAATCCTATAAATACAAGGGTAAAAGGGTCAAACTAGTGCATAACTGTCATGAGCGAATGAATGTGATGCAAATACCTGGGAGAGGGTCGGAAAGGTCACTGTGTCCCCAAGACGTGAGGTGGACACGGAGCAGGGCAAGGACATGATCTGAAGAAGATGGTAACGCTCCGCCAACGTCTAAAAGAAACAGATATACAAGAGTAATCTATGGAGCAGAGGATGTGTGCACAGGCAGACATGCGTACATTTGGGAACAGGCAAGGTTGAAAAATATTGAATCGGAAAGGACAGCAAATGAGGCAGGAGGAAAAATTAATTGAGGGTAGAGAGAAAGAGAGATGGGGCAGGAGACGCGGGAGAGAAGTGAAAGGATGACAGGGAGGGATGGCGGAAATTAATACAGCCATGGAGTAAAAACGAGTGTGGAAAAGGTATGAGACCAAACAAAGAAGAGAACGAGAAAAGAGAGCAGAAAAAAAGCAAGAACCATTAGTGGTGGCACGCGGCGGGACGATCTGGCACTTAACCACAGCCGCTCATGAATTAAGCAAATTATCCTTTTTTCTGTGTCAATTCCCCTGGTTCCACTCCTCCTGTGACCACTGAGGGCACCGCTTGGTCTCTCATCACACCCCAGATGATGGAGTGGAGTCAAAAAGGAAGTCTTTTTTCAAACTGCTTATGTTAATTATATTGTTGTTAGGATACATTAATTAAACAGAGACAGCGATTAATAGGGCAAGGACACTGGCCAAGAACAAATACAGACACGAGCCGAAGAAACCGGGACAAGCTGCCAAAGCAAAGCACGTGTCCTTGAAGTATTGCACACACACACAGTCACACACAAACATGCAGGCACCAGAGCAGGCGACCATGCCAGCTTGACTCTTAGGATGTAATGAAACATTTATGGTGGAATCGCTGTGCTTTCCTTTATCACTGGGGAGAGTCTGAAGGTCCCTTGTAATGAACAGATGTCTGTAGTCTGCCCACGACCCAGGTCTCCAAGCACATTTCAACAGGTATGGCTGCCATATGTGCGTATTAATGGGTTACGGGCATGTATAAAGTGTATTTACTACAATAGTGATAGCATTACCTGTACCAACCTTTCTCTGTCTCTCTTAAAACCAAAAATCGGGAACACTGGGCTCAACATTAATTTTTAATTTCTTGCTCGTAGGTGACTTTTGGTGGTGTCAAAGCGATGGGGAGTGAATTATAGCGGCTGTACAGGAAAGATGTAGTGCTTCATCTGTACTCCAGGATGATGCAATCTAATGCAAAAAGGTGGCAAGAGGGACAGTGGACCGCAGTGTTTTACTTAACGTCTCCTCCAAGTCTTACAGGGTGTGCCATTGTTCATTTAAAGAGACCTCGTTGTGTAAGATGGACATAAAACAGGCATCTGGTAAGATATCTTGTCATTTTCCATTTTTTCTTGACTTCTAGTGTGTAGTGACTAGGCCTTAGCACCTTTATGTGGACTCGACATCACCATGAAGAATAACGACCAGTCTCTTTATGGGTTGATTAATGAGAATAGAAGTCAAAGGTAAATATTTTAGTTCATTAGGTCACCTGTAGTAGTTGTTGCTGTTGCCGTTGGTGCTCTTCCTGAAGCTCTCTGATCTGTGCCGCATGGATCTGTCTCAGTTGCTCCTGTCTTTCCTTCACACTGCCGAGGCCTTCATGCCACCGCGCCGCAGCTACACATCATTGAACACAACACATGGTCAGAAATGAAGATTAATGACTGTTTTCTCTGGTTGCTGTGAGGGATTTATCATCTGACACAGCCCATACATAAGCAGCGTGATTATGACGTGACAACTAAAAGTAAAACCAAGTCACTTTTTTAGTTTATCACAAAGCAAATGTTTACACACAGGTCCAATTTCACAGTAGTTGGGGTACAGAAATTCTGATATGAACATATAATGAAGAAAAGAAAGAAAAATTCAATGATGCATAACTTCAGTGTCTAGTTTACTTACAGAATTATAGAGGGTGTTACCCATATTATTGGGACACAGTCTTGTTATGTGATACTAAAATAAACACCACTTCATGACATCACAAGGTGGAACAGGCCATTTTAAGCTTTAGAGATGTAGACAGATTAATACTCAAACATGCGTGAATGAAACAAAACACAATTCCTAAATATATTTTTGATGAGATAACATTTTAACATGACTGAAAGTTCATGTGAGTCAATTTTGTATAATATACGATCTTTCAGTGCTACGACAGAAATGGGGATGATCAAAGATGCTTCTAACTGTTAATAAAGTTTCTCTACAATTTTGTGAAGTGCTCTAAAAGACTTGTGACTGACCTTTTGGAGTGCTGGAGCTGGCTCTACTTGCTGCTGCTTCTCTCTCTTGGACGACTTCTGTCATTTGAAGTCTACGTTTCACCTTTGACCCCACGCCCTGACCTTCAACTCCGCACTTCGGGGTCATGTACTTCTTCTCACGCCTCTGAGATTCATATACACTGTGAAGCCACAACTCAGAGGGAGTGTCCACATCGTAGGACTGGTTCAAAGACGTGCAGTGGGAATTGCGACCCAAATCCGAATAAATTTTCACTGAATGGTTACTTGTATCGGACAATACAGAGACATTATTCCTGATTGTGGCTTCTGGGAGACATGTGCGAAATATGTCAGGAATGCACATCCTCTGTGCCGTAGTTAAGGTACCTTTGGCTGATGGTAGCCTTCTAATATTCTGACATTTAGAAGCTGTCACTCTTGTGTGATCTTTCTCTCTACTGGTCGTCATTGCCATAACATGTTGTTGTGAATTAACTGTTTCTGTCTCTATAAGTGAAGTTTTGTCATTACTTCTTTTAAGGCTGTCCGGTGATAGGCTCCTCTGTGACAGACTAGCATCACCCGACCAACAAACTGAATCGTTCTGGCTTATCTGCGTCTGCTGACTCTCACTTTGACTGTTACTTTTATCCACGTTCTCTGTCAGCGTGCACTCCAAATCTGAGATCAGCACTTTGAGGCCAGACAGGTTGAACTCGAGCTGATCTATGTGCTGTGAACTCTTGGCTAAAACACTTGTTACATCACTCTCTATAACACTGACAGGCGAAGTTCTGTTCTTACTTCCTTCAACCTGGTCGTTATTTATGGACGTATTGATCACTGGCTCCTTTTGAGTGATCTTATCAAATGGTGCAGAGGGGCTTTTGGCTTTACAGGGTACAGGACTCCTACAAAAGTTCAGGACTGGGATGTTTTGATATTTCTTGATATCGTTAAAAGCTAAGGGGGATGTATTGGCACTGCACTCGCTACTTTTGCTCATGTTTTCAGTCCATACTGGCATTGGCAAGGAGACATTTCTATTCCCACTTGTGTTTACCCAATTATGCACCCTAATTGAGTCATAGCTTTCACTGTTAGGATTTATCACATAGGTCTGTGCTGGGTTATCAATTGTTAAATGTGATTCGTCAAAAATGTCAGTTTTTCTATCACTTTCACAGGATCTCTTCAGTGATTGGTCCACAATGGAACTATGGCTATCATTCCTCTCCTGACCCTTCCTTGGCTCTGTCACTTTGGTGTGCTGCTCATCATTCTCCTTATCAGACAGACTCTGCTCCTCTGACTTTGGCTGATCTTGAGTTCTGTGCTGAATTTTAGCACTTTTGGCCTGGCTCCGAAGCATGCGCTGACGCCGGCGATACTCCTGAGATTTTTTCAGTAAAGCCTGGAGACTCATTCGATAAGGCTCCTCTGACGGCGCTGAGTCCTCCTCATCAGTCTGCATTGTTTTACTGAGTTGACTGTGAATTTCTGTGAGGTATGTCAGTGCTGGTGGATCCTTCAGTGGGCCTGTAAGGTCCTCCTTTAACTCTACTTCTTGATCGTTGTCATTTTGAGTAGCTAAATGTGAAGTTTCTGTTTGCACTGGATAAACATCACAGGACTCTTCTGCTGAACTGGGATTAATGGAGGAGCTTTGGGGATTTTCAGCTTTTAAATCAATACCAAAAGATGACTCTTGACCACTCCTCTCCAAGTCTTCGCCATCAACAGGCGGATAGTTAATAATATCCGGCATCTTTTTAACTGTATCTGATGAGTTATGGACTAAAAAGCCTTCAACACTGTCTTCTCCTGAACAGAAAATATCCTCTTTTTGACTACCTATGGCCATGATGGTGTTCTCTACATTTGTGTAACTATCATAACATGAATATAATTGGTGGAAGTAGGTCTTACTTGAATGCAAATCTAAAGCTGTTTCACTGTCTTGAGGGAAATTATGTCTTATTTCATTATACCTTGTTTGAGGAGGTAAATGAGAGGTCAAAAGGTCACTGCACGTGGTTGACGTGAGTGGATGGAGACTTTCCTGGACATGGAGATATTTCTTTGTAAAAATGTTTTGTGACAAGGATCCACTGATACTGTCACTGGGCGATGCACGAGTGCCAAAATCTGATTCTTTGAGGAGCTCTTCCAGTGTTGGTGTTTTTCTTATCTGAAATACAATTAACACATTATTATATACTTGGAGTGGCAGTGTAATTATATAGTAATAATCAAATAAAAATATCTGTTCATCATAATTTTATACAAAATACTTAATTCCCTTAATTTTTTTTTTAACTTACATGAACACTGTGAAGAATGGTTTGGACATAGGACATTCTTGTATCATCTTTGTGCTTCCTGTTTCTTTCAGCAGCCTTTTGTGCAGTCTCTTTGAGTTTGCCCATCTCTTCTCTCTGTGCCCCTGAAAGCTGTTATCAGCACGCAACACACTTTTACTTGGAATATCCACACTAGCTACAACTTCAAGAGCACAAATATACACACTCCTAATACATATAAATAGTATACATATCAAAGCCCCTAAGACAGTACTAAGACAGCACTAAGATAGTAACATAAGATAGATAAGTGAATGTGTGTTTAGTGCTTTAAAATACGGAAACACAGGCCTACCAGAGGAGGGAGGATAGGTCGACCATGGAAACAGATAAGAGATGGTGACTTCGGTTTGTTCTCATCAACATCTTTAGTCCTTTTTAGCCGAGACAAATTAAAGTCTACAAACTTCTTATAGTCCTCCATGAAACTTCATTAAGACTGACAAAAACAGAACTTGCAGTGGTTGCTATGGTAAAGTATCTTGCTAGCTAATGTTGTGTTAGCTGTCAAAGAGCTAGCTAACCAACGTAACGTAAAGTTTATAAGGCAATCTCTCATTCCTTGCATAAAAAACTTTGACTCTGGCACGGAAGTGTAAACATAACAAATAAAACCAACAGTAGTTGACGTAAAAAATAGTTATTTCTACCAAACGCGGACTCCTGGTTTTGGATCAGTGTTTACATTTTACCCGCCTCTCTTCTTCAGCCGACGCACGGTTCACGCAGACGTACGCAAAACGCGGACTGGATCCGCAGAGGAGCCATCATTGATATTTTTAAAAAAGTAATAGGTGAGGCCCATTGACCGTATAAAAGAATATATACAGTCTATGGTTAGGCCTAGTGGTTTGACGAATTCCAGTCCAGCAAATTATGTGATCTCGAAATTTGTGTCAACTGTACCACGTTAACTGCAAACCAAATGACTAAATACTTGTGATCTTTCAGCGTGCCGTGGAGATGGACTTGGCCTTCTTCACCCGAGGTACGCTGGCAAATTTGGCCTCTGCAATTTCTGGAATATAAAACATACATATTTCTAGAAATATTTACTTATGTTGTATTTCTATATACGATGTACAATAACTTTCTGGCTTTCTAATAGTGGGTGTAAATAGTATTTATTTATTTATTTATTATTCAAATAGTAACCTACTATTTTTGTCATTTTATTTCAACAAAACAAAACCGTTTTTCTGAAGTCTATTGGCCTTTTACATGGTAAAATCGTGAGTTGGGCAGTTCCAGAAATATATTTTCAACATGACAGTCCTCATTTTATACATGCAAATGTATGTTGATGTCACTGTGATTTTATTATTATGACAACACGTGATGGAAATTAAATTTCCAATGGAATTCTCCATTCATTCAGAAGCATTTTTGTTTAGGCATGAACAATTATGAATGTTATTATTTAGAGGGCAGAAATTTAACTCAACCACTGAAGAAGGGGCACACATTATGCAAACTTTTCTTTTCTTATTCTTTTAAGCAGGTTTAATGAGGTTTAGCATTTTCTCATCATAAGCAGACCTAAAATAGTATTTAGTTTATTTCATGTTTATTTGATGAGGTCACTGTTTTTGTAAAGAAGTTTCAATGTATGTAATTTATTACAACATTTTTAGCACTCAGAAGTGGTCTTACATGTTTTTCAATGATATGATTTCAATATATTGAACTCTTGCTGATTATTTTGGTGCTTAAAAGGTCTTCACATGTCATTCTTAAAATTATTGTAATTGTGAAGCATCTAGGCATTTATCACTACTTGTCATTTCTGTCACAATGGGAAATAATAAAAAAAAATATAAAAATATGATGGAAATGACTAAATGTTATTTCTTATTTCACGATTACGTCAGTGTTCAACTGTAGCTCTCAATGTGCATAAAATCTACCGGTATAGTTTTTTCTCAAAAGGTCTACATTTAATAGAAATATGAGATGTTTCAAAATGACTTTGAATACATATACCTCTGTCTTGAAGTATGGCAATAGCTGTGGATGCACGTGCATTAGTGTGACAAACAATCTATAAAGTTACAGTTAGTATGGTGTGATGGAAATGACCTAAACCTTGAGACAACTATCATTTAATCTTTTTTTTTTTTTTCTACAAATACATGATACATTATAATAAAATAAGAAATATATGATATGTCTTAAAGTGATTGATACATCTCTATTGGATTCAGAATTATGATGGATTGAATGTCCAAAACTGGACTGTGGGACAAGGGGCGTCCCCATATAAGCCACTCACAGCAAAGTGGATTAATGCCTCATACATTTTTTCAGAGTTTATCTCAATGTCTAGTTTGTTTGGCAAATGCACAGAATAAAGATTTCTTTTTCACCTGGACACAAATTTGCCTATAGTTTGGGAATTGCCCTATGTATATTTAAATGCATATCAAAATGGCTCAATTTCACCTGCTACATAAATTATAAGAATTAACTCCGCTTTTGCTATGCAGTTAAAAACTTAAACAAAAATAATAATAATTATACCAAACTTATTTCAATAATTTGACTTCATAGGAATCACCAGGACAAGCCAAAATAAGAATCAAAACTCCAGTAAGAACCTCATAGCCTATATGAGGAATTCCTCAATCATTAACCACACTTTTACCATCCTGGTTAAATTCTTGGAAAATACACACACACACTAAACATTTGAACATGTTTATTAATCATATACAAAATAAATTACGCTGTTTATTAACAAACATACAATATATACAGTACGTCAATAAATTAAAAAGATGCATAAGACCCATAATGAACAATTATTCTTGAGATTACCAATACCTTATCATCACCACTTACTGTATCCACAAATTGAAAAGAAAGAACAATAATTTAGGTGATAAATACTTGCAAAGACCGTCACATTTTAAGCATTTTCCCACAGAAAGTACTATTGGAGAATAATTTATTACACCCCCATACAGAAATATACAAAACACTGACTTTCCTATTACAGTATCAGGGCATTTCTAAATAGACTAAACCATTTTCACACAAACTCACTACTTTTCAATAATTGCTTAAGAACAAAAAAGATACCCACTGAGTATTGTAGGACATGGATTGTGTTTAAACAGGGTAAAGTTGAATAGTCATGTTGTACAGTTGTTGCTGTGATGAGTGCATGAGGAGAGAAGCAAAAACAAACAGTTAATTTGAGTGATCAAAAGAATCCTTGGTTCATTCACTCTGATCGATCAGACGGTGGGTGAAAGGGCTTTTAGAGGTGGCGTGATACACCACAGCCAGGCAAACAACATAGTGATGACTCTCTGATTGGCCGAACAGTAGGATAAGGAGTTAATGATTTGCATCCTCTATCATCAGATGTTTTGAAGAAGGGCTTGGCCGCCTGCTGAGTTAAATTGCAAAAACACTTTGTGGATTAAGTGAAGTGGGAAATGGTGAGGAGTTTTTAAAATCCTTCCTGCAATGATAAAATATGTATGAATGCGGTCCAGGAGTGGTTGCGTGGGTTTCTGATAAAACGACTTTTCATGAGTGGGGCTATTACCCCTCTGCAGACAGAGAATAGGGTCAGTGTGTCTTACAAGCTCATAAACACAGTTGATTATCACAGTGGTTGGATGACCCTTTAACCCATTGCACTTTTAAAATGAAAATACAGCCACCATAAACCCTATACGGAAGACAAAATCAGTTAAAATTTTACTTTACACCAGTGCTACACTCTTGTGTCTTGTCTTCACCTGAACGCCACGTATAAGCCTAATATAAAAACTCTCACAAGGATTAGCCACACAACATAGAGCCGAGTTGAGGACAGTTTTCAACACACTGTATTTGCATCACTGCTCCTGTGAGCCACAACATATTTTTGTATGAAGACGTCCATTTAACAGTTTTACACCAATGATTAAAAAATAAAATAAAAAATCACCAACACGATAAACATGTTGCTTTACCGTGGCCCACAATAGATAATTATTTTGTATTTTACAAGGGGACAGATGTGAAGTTGTGATATATCTTTTTTTGTTTTATTTATTTTTTTGCTCAGGTTCTTTAAAGAGTTGCAGAACATTTTATCAGTGCTTGGGACAGGCACAAACCACATCTCTATCAGGTAACCTAGTTGCTGGAGGTTAAATAGCTATAAATTCTCTAATGATAGATACAGCGTTGGACTTTTTTCACTTAACACTTTATATAGCTCTGGTTTTATGGTTGACTGGGTATGCAAATATGCTTATTGTTCCAAAGATTATGGGAAATAAATGTTTTTAATCTTTAGTCAATTTTCCTCCTTTTGTTATTCCCAATTCAGTTAATTTGCATTAATAAAAAGTCTTTGTTAATCTTAATAAGCACACAGCTGTCTACTTAAGCCCTCCTTACAATAGAAAGTGTAGGTTCACCCATTGTTAAATGGAACAGTGTTTGAATGAGATCTACATATATTTAAATTTACCCAAAAATAACAACTGTTTGAATTTAACTTTAAATAAATTAAACTTTACACACAAGGCCATTAAATAGCTTAACATAATTGAGCATAAAACACAGAATACAGTAATACTTCCCTGACAAATACAAAATTCTCTAAACCAATACTAACATTAAACATACAAAATATAGACATCAAAGTACCCTTGTAACATCCTGCTTAAACAAATTTCATTTTGTTTTTTAATTTAATACATAATTTATCTTGGCAAGTGTATGTCAGGCAAAAGCCCACTAAAAATAACCTTTCCAATATGAGGAAAATCAAAAACTGTGCTCAGGGGCCAATTCTGAGTGATTAGGGAGAGGGAAGAATAGATGGTACCTTAATCAGGTACACACAGCTTTTTTCACGCCTCTGATTGGTTTAGTCTGAGTCTGTTTGTCCCGCCTTGAAATAACATTCAAACCAAGCAGTACCACCAGACTACTTTCTCTGTAGAGAGATAATGGTACACGGACATTCCCAGAATAGGTGTAGCTACCTTAATAGAGATCAAAGCCATCATCATTAAAATAGTGAATATTATTATTACCTCATCACATACACAGCACACACTGTTCACAGTTACACACACGTTCCTAGTCACTACAGAGAAAACAAAGCTATTCAGTAGTTAAGCCACTTTTGGTACAGTTGCAAAATAGAGAGACTGTATATCAAACGGATTCTGTTATACCACTTTTTACAGTTCATTACAAACAATGCAAAGATAATAGTCTTTATAAAACTCCAGACTCTACCATACATAGACAAAGATTCTCTAAGTATATAACACCATATAAGACTACCTATAATAAAGCTTGTGTGACATGAACCTAAACTTTTCTGTGATAAAAGCCTTAAAATGCATGTATATTACTGTATGTCCCTTTATCCAATCTTTTTTTTGTTTATTTTAGAGTTAGTTCATTCCTTTTTACATTTTTCTTGCCCTCTCATCCCTTTGACCCAGTTCTAATGCATATTGTATTAAACAAGGCACTTGCCCTTCTTAATGTCAGATTTAAAGAAAAAATAATAAACATTGTTAAAAAAAAAAAAAAAAAAAAAGTAGTAGAATTTGTTTTAGTAATTACAAACAATTTCACTTTGTCAAATCTCTATTGGGCAATGGAAGCCAGTTGGACTTGAAAAATTGAAAGAAAGTACTGAGAAAGCTGCACAGAAAGTGAAGACACTGTAGAAAAAATACAGCTAACTAAATATAGCAACACCAGAACAAATACAAGCCACAGAATTTCACAGAATTCCTGATAAATATCAATTCACACACAGAGAATACACTTTGGACCTCATGTGAATGACGACACAGTACAAAACAGTAGAAATACACTTACCACCATTGTGTAATATACTATATATTTGATCTAGTTCTTTTCCAAAAAGTTCTTGGTTTGGGCAAGCAAGATGAGAATTCAATGCCACTACTCCAATCAGCTGCACGGTCACAAAGTGTTGGCAGAAAGAGAGAATCCCAATACCTAAGCGCACAGATGCCTGTAATGTAATATGTAATGTAATATGTAATAGTGAATCAATGTAAAATCTAATTAAAGTAAGTTGTTCTTTTGTGTTTTTTTTCCACTGAATTGTAAATTGTTTTGGGCATTGTTTTGGGTTTTCAGTGACCATATAAACCCTGTGTCGTCCCTGTGCTAAAAGATCAAGTCCACTGTCTGAAACCCTCTGATGCTCCACATTTCTTTCACCTGCACTGACCCCATCATGGATGTACTACAGAGCAGATAAGCCACTCAGGCAAAGTAAAGGTCCCGCTAGACCTCAGGTAAAAGTTTCTTTTATACGAAACATTGCATCTCATAAAACAGTAAGATCTGGATTTGCTTATTGCTGCCATTATTATTGTGTCAAAAACATTTGATTGTTATTATTTCAGTGCAATATTCTCTATGAACATTTATCCCAGCTGATCAGTGATCACATGAAAAGATACTGACCCTATCATACTGAGATGGATTTAAATAACCCTGTTCTACAGTACATCCAGAGTCAGTGCAGGCCAGGGCAGGACACAGAGGCGACCGGCCGTAGCTGAACTCCATCTTGACACACCCTCATCCTGCTCCCCTCTCTCAAGACCGTGCATCTGTTTTTGACTTCACTATTGTTATCACACTGGTCGCTGTGGCCATCTTCCCTGGTATGAGTGGACCAATGACCGATGAGGCCACACCTCCGCCTCCCCCTCCAGCCCGCACCCCAACTCCCACTGAGGGGGTTCGTGCCACAGTCCGGGCGAAGGTCTGTAACGCCTCATACTTGGACCTCAGAGCATCAAGCTCAACACGCATTGATGCATTTTCATTGGCCAGTTTGTCCACCTCCTGTTGCAGCTGGGCCTTCTGCTTCTCCAGCTCCTCCTTCTGTGTAACGCGTTTCACTCGGCAGCTAGCGGCGTAGCCACGGTTCTTCAGGGTCCGCCGCCGCTGCTTCAGTTGGAGGATTTCTTCTTTGGTGAGCCCTCGGAGGTGCTGGTTCAACTCTCGCACTGACATGGTCACCAGCTCCTCGTCCGTGAGACTGGTGCCATTCTCCCCTGGCTCACGCTTCACCTGCACAAAGAACAGGAATGAGGATTGAGAAGAAGGAATGAGAAAGAGGAGTGAGAAAAAGTTGTACTACTACAGCTAAAAGCATGTCACCTACCTTTAAGGCTTTGTTTCCTTTGTTCGCCGTCGTCATGCCCCAAGAGCCTTGCTCCTCTGAACAGACCTGTGAGAAATCCGAACATTAGATCATCTGAAATAACAGCTGCATCAGGACCTTTTATACTGTTGCTACCTACACCTTCAGTCTAAACATAATTGTACACTTACCCACCACAATAATGTGTGACCAGTTCTCCTTTGTAGGCACTGTGTTATATATGTGTAGCAGTGAAGGTGACTAGTAAACTTTTCACAGAATTTCCCTGGCTTCCTGTTTCCTGGTGGTTTCACTAACAGTGCCCACTACCTTGTAATGTTGAACTGTTATTGGTTGATTTCAGGCCAATCATCGAGAATTGAGCAGAAAATAAAAGGAAGTGGTAAAAACTGTGGGAACGACTCCAGGGGAAAACCAACTGTTTCAACTGTTACATGTCGGTATAAAAGACATTGTGGTGTGGCAGGTGTCATATAATAAAATGGCAAATTAACACATGGCCTAGGCCGTTATGATGTGCACCCACTAGTGTAAACAAAAGACAAAAGGATGCAGAGACAGAGGTGTGAGTCAGATATCGACAAAGACATCAGTGGAGTGCAAAGATGAGGTCAGTTCTTAGAGCGCGCGGCTCCAGTGATGAG